GGCCGACGGAGGCGGGGAACGGGGGCGGGATGCGCCTGCGCAGTCCTCGTCACCGCCTCCTGGCGGGGTTGGGATGACTGTTGGGATAGTAACGGCTTAAGCAAGTACCATGTCGCGTACCTCACTTTTCCGAAGTATTTGCTCATTTTTCCTCCCATTTGATTTTCACCATATTCCTCAGAAAGTAAGAAGTCAAAGTGTCTGTTTTTCGAGTGTCAAAGGTCATACAACTCGTTTATGACAAATTCTGTTTTAGAACCAAATACTCAGAACTTGGCTGGGGCGCTTGTCACGGCATAACATGGATAACATAGGGAGTGGGTAAACAAATATTCGGACACGCTGCTGGAGGAATTTTATTCTCGTGATTTTTTTGGTCAGCGTTTTTAAATTATGATAGTTCACGATTTACAAATACTCACTGGACAGAACTGTGCTTCCTCCGATTTGTCTCCTGTTAAGATAGGTTTTCCTTTAGGAGTGCATGGAAATTAAAAGTCTAATTTTAGCCCTAGCTGGTTTGGCTCATTGGATAGAGTGTTGGCCTGCGGACTGAAGGGTCCCAGGTTCAATTCTGGTCAAGGGCACATGCCTGGGTTGCGGGCTCCATCCCCTGTAGGGGACGTTCAGGAGGCAGCCGATCAATGATTCTCTCTCATCATTGATGTTTCCATCCCTCTCCCTTCCTCTCTGAAATCAATAAAAATATATATTTTTTAAAAGTCTAATTTTAAAGCATTCCGGCAATTTAACAGACTTAAAGGTGATTCAGTCTGCCAGTATTTATTGAGCAATTACTATGTGCCAGACACTGTTGTAGGAACGGGTATATAGTAGTCAACAAAATGCTGTACCTTGTGTTTAAAGTCTTATAAAATTCTCAACTAAGTAGAAAATAATAGTTTTTCTATGGTGGATATGACCTATTGTAATGGAGCACAATACACTATAATTAATATATCTTTTTGAAATAAAAAGCATTTCAGGGAGGTACAAATGAGGGTATCAAGTTAGTAACAAACAATGGGGAAGAAGATGATAAACTAGAGAAAAATGTACAAGATAAAAATAGCTGAATTTCATGATTGATTGCATGGGAGATAGTCAAAGTACAAAATGACCTCCTTAAATTGATTTGCGAATTAAACACTAATACATATTATACACTCAGTTAGGGTGAGGTTCAGCAGCGGTAAGAAATGGGTATATTGTTTGTCTTTTTCTCTAACATTCTACAGTTGAGATTAGGCTGGACAGACAGCTGTGATTCACACAATCTTGCAGGTAACTGGGTTCTATTCATTTTGTTGATCTACCACCACTAGGGTGTTTTCCTAGTTTTAATGGTCAACATCAAGTCCCAACTCTGTTCTTGTTCCATACTGTGGGAAGAGGGAAAGAACAAGTGGAGGGCAAGCAATATCAACTTTAAGTGTACAAAATAGAATTTGCACATATCATGCCTGCTCATATCCCAATGGTGAAAACAGTACTGTGGCCACACCTAAGTACAAGGGAATATGAGAAACATGGGCTCTAGTGGGGCGGTCAAAACTTGGGACGGGGTGAGGGAGGGCTCTGTTAGTGAAAGGGGGAACAAGAGCAGCCTTGTCATTAGTCAGCCTCTCTAGGGGATTAAGTACTCAGGAGAACCCCCCTTCCCACCAAATTCAACCCCTCTCCAGGAAAAACAACTCAAAGTCCCAACAGATTCTGAATCCAACAAATCGTTTAGGAGCTCTAGGTGACTAAGGAAGGAAGGAAAGACTGAATACTAGGGAGGACAATAACTATGTTTCAAATACAAATTTGACACCCTCCCTCTACCCTTCGCACACATAAGCAGATACATTGTTTTGATTTGGCATAACAAGGTATAGTCACTTTAAGCATGCCAAACTTTGGTCTCCACAGTAGTAAAACGAGTCATAAAAATAATGCAATTTGCATCAGCTATACAATGCTTATGGAGACCGAATATAATTTTACAAGGGAATGCAAACAAGAGGATAAAAAGAATGATGGTAATGCTTATAAGAAAAACCCTAAATATGTTTCTCTGTATAAAGTTGATTTAAAATATAACAGTATATATATTTTTTCTTGTAGGCAATTCATATAATAAAGGATTATAAAAACAGATTAGGCCCTGGCTGGGTGGCTCAGTTGGTTGGAGCATCATCCTATACACCAAAATGTTGAGGGTTCGATTCCCAGTTAGAACACATGCCTAGTTTTCAGATTCAGTCCCCTGTGGGGGTATCTAGGGAAGGCAACTGATTGATGTCTCTCTCTCAAGTCAATAAAAACATTTTAAAAAACCAGATTAGCCAACAACTTCACATTTTAAAAACTGGACTCAAATGATACTAAATGCAGAGATTAATAATTAAAAAGGTTTAAATCTGTGATCTAAAGGAAGCCTTTAACATGGAATATTGTATTTATGAAGCCATTTTACTGGTTCATACTAACTCTGTTCAGTTTGCCTTAACCTAACTAGGTATTATTAGTTTTACATATTTTTTAATTCCAAAGCATCAAATTTCTAATGATAAATTTTCTGAGAATAAAATGATTAAAATAAACTTTTGAATAAAAATATCAACATACTTAAGTGGCTTAAAAGTCAGCTTTCCACACATAATTGAAAGATTTGAATTTTGCTTTTTTTTTTTATTATCCCAGCAAATGTTACACTAGATAAAATGATTGGGGAAATACAAATAGGTTCATTAAAAACACAGGCTGATTATTCATATCTACTACATTCAAAAGTATGCAAAACAATTTATATTGCAAAGCTGTAATTCCTTTTCCTATCAAAGCTTTATATTATAAAATTGTAGTGTTGTACTGATTCAATTTTAATACAAAATACTTATGTACACAATACAATATAAAAGTAAACTGTGGTACAGTGCCTTCCACGAAGGGATATATTAAGGCGCTTTACAAATATACTAATAGGTTGACCCACATTACTTTTTTAGATTAAAACAAATAGGCTATTGTTTCACTTTAAATACCAAATGGATTTTTATTTTTGTTTATTAAAGAAATTGTCTAAAGTACCTTAGGTAACAGCAGCAGCAATATCTAAAAATCCTCCCACTGTATTTTCTAGTTACTAACATATTATTAAGTCAGAATAAAACATTTCCACTCACAGTTTTGCACTTCGCAACAGCAGAAGGTAATCACTTTTTTAAAAAGTCAATCTCAAAGTGACTTCTTAGTCATACATTCTATAGTTTCTATTACAAATAAGGTAGAAAAGATACAGCAATAGGGCCCGCCTTAGGATGTCACTGAACAATACATAACAGTATCTACAATTACATAATTATAGAACACTTTATAAATACTATTGATATGCATAAAAGGGTAAGTATAACAAAAACAGTAAGATTTTAACGAGTGGGAAAATTTTTTAAAAAGAAAACATGTATAACCAATGTTTTCACTCCATTTCAATTGAAAGCATATAGAATTTTGTTCTCATCTTTTTGGTCAGGAAGCACCAGATTCTATAATGGAAGAACTGGATATAGTTTGGGAATAAGATAGCTAATCAGTATATCCAAACTATTAAAAGTACAGATACTAAAGGCTTGTACATGGCTTCGGATAAACACAAAAAGTTTATTCTGTCAGGAAATTTCAAAAGAATATAAAATTTGTAGTGTCTGTTACATTTGAGAAATGAGGGCAAAACAGATTTTATGGGGAAAGAGAGGAAGGAGACAGCACCTTAGTTTTTCTATTACAGAAATTTAACAAAGTTGGTTTTATACTGTATTACACCATAGTAAAACAACTAAATGGAAATTTAAATGTGACTGAGAAAGCCCAAGAGCAAGAGGGATGTCTTAAAATTTTGAGTAGTGAGCTAAAAATTCTTGAACTAGTTTGTTTTTATAGAACTAATCAAATGTTCCATGAAATGCAGACCGCCATCTCATAGTGCATTTTCTTACGACTGTCTGATTAGAAGTCCTTCGCAAGTATTTCTATATCAAGTCTGTAGAGCCAACCATGTCAGTGCCCTTAAAAGGGTGTGTTTAAAATGTCTCAGTGCTGTACCAGCAAGAGAGGCATTCATAGGGTTATCTGATCACATGGTACAGACCTTTTCCATCACAAATTATCAGTGTTTATACAAGATGTGCTAATCTGAACATTAACCAGTAAATTTAAAACAAAGTTCTTAGTTTAATATATCAGTGTTCTTATAGGACAGAGGTCTTTAACCAAGAGTTGATATGTTTCAACATGTCCAGAGCCCCTAAAACTGCACACATTTTATTCATTATGTGTTGATGTCCATTATTCTGGGAAGAGAGTCCACAGCTTTCATCACATTTCAAAATGATCCCCAAAGACCCGTCCATTACATAGCGTGTTGTGCAGTGGTTTACAAGCTGAGCTCTGAGAGGGCTACCTATAGAAAGATGAGAACTGTGAGCTAATAAATCTTTGCCCTCCCCAGTTCAACTGGAATAGCTTTGACTTGATTTTACTTACGTATATGATTTCCATTAGCTTTCATATAAAAAAAGCTAAAAGTCTGAAAATCACTAAAAGTATGCCTCTTATCCACAATTATTGTTTTGATAAAATTCTTTATCAGTGGAGCTTAAGAAAAAGAAAATATAAATTTTACTAATAATAAGAAGAGAACCCTTTTCCCTAAAAGATAAGTTAAGTATATTTTGGTATGAGAGCACAAGTCTCCTTGTAACCTAAGCCTATATAATAGGAATGTTGAAAAACATATTATTTAACCTTAAAATAGGTTAGGAGGACTTGAATTTCTACTAGGACCACTATGTAACTTTCCCTAATTACTAATGGCCCCTAAATTAAGAGTTAAGTAATAATTTTTCATCAATCAATCGCCCATAGGGAAAATATTGCCAAATAGCCAGCTTTTCTTTTGCCAATAAACAATCCATGCATGCAGCACTGTTCTGAAAGAGGAAACCTGCAACATTAGTGATGACATAATCAAAACTATCACAATATAGAAAAAATACTGTTCTAGTGAGTATCCATAAATAATTTCTAATCAGTTTCATATGAAACTGAAAATCTCTGCTTAGGATGGTGGAAATACTTTTTAAATTTCAAAGCAAAAATATGGAGAATCTTAGCTTTTAGTAAATTTTGATTCATGGCAGCTTTGTTCCTTTTAAAACTGGAAGCAGCACAAACAGCACATGTTGGAATTTTTAATAAATAGATGCAAATAGACATGTAGTCAATAAGATGAAAAGAACAGCCCTCATACTTGATGTAAATATACATCCACAAATATAGTCAGGCTTCTTTTCTAGCAACATATTGATGTCTTTTTCCAAGATAACAATGGATTGACTGCAGAAGAATATGCTCCTGTTAGTGGTTTTAATTTCAAGACCAAAAAATCTTCTAAGAGTAGTAATTTAAGATGTACAGGAATCTCCAAAACATCATGTAATATATCAACCCAAATAATAAAAAATTTCATATAAGGCAAAACACAAACCAAAAAAACCACCTGGAAGCGGCGTTAAAAATACCAAGATGTAAAGAAAAATGGCAGTGCTTTGTTTCCTTTAATGACAGTTATTCTTAAGAAACAAATGCTAAATATTCCCAGGTGGGAAGTAAATGACATTTATCTATTTTTCCCTTCTGATGAGCATCCTGTTTCAACCCTGTCACCCTGTATTTCTTA